ACAGGAGTGAAGATGCTCTGTCACTAGGACTCCACTCTGGGCTAAGGTCTGAGATGCCAGCCTCAGCACAGAGATGTCTGGCCATGACTGTGGGGGACGCTGGCAGTGGGTGTTTCACCGTTCACATCACAACCACCACAAATGCTGCCTTGCTCACACAGAGCTGCCTTCGGGCTGGGTTAGAGGCCCGAGGACATGCCTTTCTGCTGTCCTCAGATACTTTAAAGGCTTTATAGAGGTGTCAAGGGAGCAGAGACAGTGGGGACTTTGTCAAGAAAGAATATAGGGACAAAACTATCCAGAAAGAAAGTTCTGTTTTCCCCAACATGGACAGCAGCTCTAATGCTCTGTGGGCAAACCTCGCCTTTCTGTAGTTCTTCACTTTATGGGGGCTCTGCGATAGAAGGTGCTCTGCTGTACGAATGCCCTTCTCACTTAAGGTTTAATGTCACCCTGAATAACTCCACACCACCTTTTTTAAAAAAAAACAAAACAAAACAAACAAAACCCAAAAGGATTTCTTCAATGATCTGAGGCAAAGAGGAGTTTGTGAAACAGAGGACAAGAAAAATGCAGACAGTTTTAAGGCAGTGGCCAGCAAGACATTGGAGGGAGAGGTCTCCTACAGCGCTTCCAGTTGAAAAACAAAGTTATCAAAACCCAACAGTAACCTTTGGAAAATGATTTCACCTGTCAAATAAAGCCTAAAGCAGTTGAACTTCAGAGTTTGAACCTTTCCACGTTGTCAACGCTCAAATTATACCTTTATGCAAGTAAGACTGCTAGTCTTTCCTGAGTTTGAGTAGTAGCACCAAATGGTGCCTTGTGTTAAATGGCAGGGGCTCCTCAATCAATACGAAGTTTGGCCCTTACTGTACAAAGGGCAACAGATTCACAGCATCAAGCAAGGTCCCCATTTGTGACAGGTCTGTCACCTCCACATAGGCCAGGGAAGAGAAAATCCCACCCTGTCCAGTTGTACTGAGACACCATTAGAGATGCTACAGCCCTGAGAGAGGGGCTGCCTGGCCCATGTGGCAGAGGGAGACAGAGCCTCCCCACACCTCCTCTGCCCCAGCCCTTACCGAGCGAGACGCAGATGCCCCGCTTGGTGAGTTCCCGGATCACCTCACTGCTCCTCTTCATCTCGGGGGCCAGGGTGACTATCCGGACACAGTCCAGGGACCCGTAGGTGGCGAGCAGGTCCTGGAAGGCACCTGCCTCGAAGGTGCGGAGGCAGTGCTCCGGGTGCGCCCCTTTCTTCTCCTTGCTGATGAACGGTCCTTCCAGATGGGCCCCTGCCCAAACAGGAACACAAAGCCATGACCCTTCCTCTCCCCAACAAGGACCAAGAAATCTCCTGTGTCTACCCTGCTCCAGCCAAGCTCTTCCCATTCTCCTGCAGCAAAACACATGGCTCGGGTAACTCCGAGCTCAGCCCAGTGAAAGATGCAGCGCTGGCCACTGGCCAAGCCAAGCCACCCCACCCCACTGTGGGGCCCAAAAGGGCTGGAGCAGCACAGGTACGATGGCAGAGACCACGGCAAAGGCCCAGCACAGCTTGAGGGAGAAAGCAGGTCTGGGCCCAGCTGTGCATCCTTCCCACTGAGAGCGCTCCAGCCCCCATTTGTGCTGTCCCTTCAGTAGTTTCTTTCTCCTTAACAACAAACAAGATCATTGCCTGCCTAGAGTGACACTAGAGAGGACAGCAAGGGACAAACCCACTTACCCAGGATACCTGCTCCGTGGGCTCCACCATTTCTTATACCGATCTGAGGGAGAACCTAGAGAAAAGGGTTTGCAAGACATGGCACCCCAGCCATGACACCCCAGCCTGCCAAACCAAACCAAAACCTCGACTCTGGAGAGAGCTTTACAGCTGGACCACTTGAGACCACCAGACAAACACAGGTCACAAAGGAAAAGCCAGCTGCAAGCCCTGTTTTGCAAGGCTGGCCTGGGTGACATCACTGTCTCAGCAGTGTGAAGGTTAAGGGCAAGAAAACCAGGGGTAGAGTCCAGCTCCTCATGCCCACAACCCTTCCGCCAAGGCAGCTATCCCAGCCTCTGCAGAATCAGCCTTGGTTCTCTCACCTCTTGGTACCAACCTCAGCCCTTTATTACCCTGTGGATGAGAGGGGAAAAGTCACTTACCTGGTGGTACACAGATGGAGGAGAGGTCACCAGGGTGGGACAGAAGGAGGTCACTCCATGGGAGAGGATTTTCTGACTGACCAGGTCGATCCCTGATTTGAAGTCATCTGTAGCCAGGGAGAAGTCCACCCCAAAGCCTCCTGCACCATGAACAAAACAGAGGTGGAACTGCAGCTTCCCCAGTGGACGTTTTTCCACCTGAAAATGCCGAAGAAACATTTTGTGTGACTGGAGCAAGCCTCTCCGTTTGCACGGCACTGACCAGAAGCAAAGGGCTCTGCCAGCAGCTCTGTGCTACATTCACGAGGCTCCATGAGTACAAATCCAACCAATGCTGTCCTTCTGAAGTGCTTTCCCCCACAGCATTCCAGTGTTTTGCAAGCACCGACTTTTTATTTCAATGCGAGGCAAAATCTGAGGATTCCCCACTGACGAGGGGACCTGACTTCCAACATAAGCTACCATAGAACAAGCTCCTCTTGACCCTCAGCAAAGAGCTATTGCAGGTCCTGCTCTGTCCTCTCCACATCCTGGACCGGATAGGGTGGGCATGCCGCCAGCCCAGGGGCAGGATAAAATGTTGTTAAAAATGAGGTTAAGAGGAAAGCTGGGCTGAAAACCCCACTGAGCCAAAGGGGATCAATTATGTGACAGCAGCAACCATGGGCAAAATTATTCTTAAGTTTGGTGACTCACATCTCCCTCGAGCAGCTGAAACACACTTGGTCATGGGCAGTATGCACACAGCAGGGTTTGAAGGTCCAGGATGGGCAAAGTCAGGATCCCCCGCCCCCCTGCGAGCACACACAGCCTCACTGTACCATTGATCTGGACGTCGATGAAGCCCGGGGCAATGATGCTGTCCTTGCAGTCCAGCTGGATGTCAGCAGAGCCCTTCTCATCAAAGAAGAGTTTCTCTGGGTTGAGGATCTTCCCCTCTCGCACCCACAGGTCCTCCCTGAAGGGACAGTTTCGCTCATGTGCCATCTGCGGTGGAGCACACAGGAGCAGGTGGCCGTGGCCCCAACGACAGGGGTGGCCTTGGGCAGAGCTGGCCCCACCGGCACCCTCCACCATGGGCTCTCCAATGTCTGCTAGAGTAGAGCTGCTCCTCCAGCAGTGACACAACTGGCAGTCCTCTCTCTGCCTGCCCTCTAGCTTTGCAAAACTCGCAGGAAAGGGGATTTTCATGGGCTGCCTGTCAAAGGCGGTGGTGATAGCCGAGGGGCCCAGGGGCTGGCAGAAGAGGCAAACCGAAGGACTAGGGGCGCCGAGAGGGGCTGTCTCCTTCAGAAATCAGGGGGAGGGAAGGAGGGAGAGCAGGAGCACGGCGAGAGCCAACAGCTGATCACCGGGGGCCCTGGGAACAGTCCCTCGGGCGCTTCAGGCTCCGGGTCAGCTCTACAGCCCCGCCGGGAGCCCCGGCACCCCCCTGGTACCCCCAAGCAACCCCGGTATCCCGGCAGCTCTCACCTCTGGAGCTGGTGGCCCCTCAGGATGCGGCAGTTGGTGAACTGGACGATGGGCGCCT